ATGGGAGATTTGAAGGATACTTGTTAGAAAGGAGACAGTAAGACTCCCACCTGCCCTGTTAGGCTTGCCAGCTCTCCCAAACTCTGCATCTAAGAAGTAACTTCCCTTCCAATTGATTTAACACTGTAGTATTATAAACTGGGATAGGAGAGATAAAGATATCTCAAGTACCTCAACCGGTATTATAGCCTTGAGCTGCAGTTGTTGTTTGTGCCATCTGCAACAACCCTACTAGTACCAGGTCTGCTATTTGAACTGCAAGAGAGCAGTAACATAGGAGTCAGCAGTCATTCTAAATCCACAGCATCTACAAACACCTGGAATCTGGATGTCCTGGTGCCAATAAATTAATCACAAGAAAATACATTGGGAGTGGATGCAAATTTCTCAGATCAGAAGTCCAGCCTTTGGAAAGATATTTGAAAGTTCCAATGATTGTTCTGAACTCTGTTTTGACATAATGTTTTGAACTAGCTATATATTCTGATAGGAGATGGGTGAAATATTTCATGCCACATATTTGCACACCTTCTAGATCAGGGGTGGAGGGCCTGTGGCCCTCCTTCAATATTGAACTACAGTTCCTATCATCCCCAGTAATTGGTCATGCTGGCAAGTGTGATAGAATCTAAGAATATATGGAGGACCACCTTGCCCCTGTCTTGCATCCTCTGAGGCTTGGGTGTGAGGGATTCCATTCATGAGATTGTCTGCTAACAAGTTGTGTTTAAATGCCCTATTCAACAAAGCAATTTCATCTATAAACAACGGGAGTCTCTCAGTCAAAAGAAGCATCATACTAATTGAGAAGGAAATGTTCACTGTGGCAAAAATCTACAGGAAGGGGGGGCGGGGAGGAGAGCAGGTATAATTCTCACTATTTATGTAAAATTAGGTTTCCAACATGTGTTTCAAGCTGGTGGTCTTCAGGGTCCATATAATTACACATCATTAATAAAATTAATTACACCTCACCACTATATTTTGTGAGCAAACTCTCTCTCTATATATATATATGAGAGAAACACAAACAAACAAAAAATGGATAATGTTAAAAAGATAGTACTGAATGTAGGGTTGATTACAGTGCAATTCTATAATATCTGCCAAGAAGGAAGCCCCACTGAGTCCAGCAGGGACTCCTCTCAGGTAAGTGGATATGGGAACACATATTTAGTGCCTTTAAATGGGAAGATAGCACATTGCTCTTGAATGTCTTCAGATAGTCATCTCCAATTATATATGTGACTACAAGTGGTTAAGTTGAAAACAAAACAGTGCAGGGAAATGAGTCATCCAAGAAACCTCCCCCACCCCCTTGTGAGTTTCTGTATACAGTACAAATAAAGTATATGGCATCACACATAGGGGATGTATTCTGGCCTCCCATGGAGAGCAATGCAGATGAACACAATAAAGAAAGGCCTTGTTATAGGTCTTTAAGGAAGGGGAGAATCTTTCTAATTACCCAGGTGTTGTTGTTGTTATTGCAGAGCTTTGCAATGTAGGATCTGATGCCTGGGCAAGGGAGCAAAAGTTGGATTTTTGGAGGCGTTACCTGCTATATATATATATAATTTTCAAATGTTCCTCTCCACTTTTCACACATTTGCGCCATAGCGGAATAGTTGTAACTATCATTCTATTCAGTTTCTGCCAACTATCCCAACCGCATATCCCTGACACAGTGAGACTGCCACCTTGGACACACTTATCTGGGAGTACCTCCTATTGGAATTATTTTGATTTTATGAGTAAACCTTGATAGAATGAGGTTTCTCATGTAGTTTCATCATTTTTTCTTTTTCTTATAGTTTTTAAAATCGTTTGATTATAGGAAACAATTAATATTCCAAAATAGCATATACAGTACAACATGAACACAACTAAACAGTATAGCTGCATATAACAATTCCTTATAAAATCAAATCCGAGGTGCAGGTAAGGAGAAATCTCTCTTTGTTATATTTTTCCATTTAGGCAATACAGTACAGGGGACTACCCTGTAAAACTTATTATCTCCCAACTTCTGACTGCTGTTATACTTTCACCACTTTTTATTGACTTTGGGACAAGGCCAGTATAGAACCTCACTGCCCCTAATCCTGTAGGAACCAGATGCCAATACCATAAATATAGCTAGATCCATGGGATACCAACACATAGAATACATCACCCAAGATGATGTGATGACCACAGGCTTCATTCATTCATTTAGCTAGGCAGGCAGTGCTTGTGAGCCATTCAATAACAATACCTCATTGCGAGAAGCAAAGCTACAGGGAACCAGGCAGAGGGCCTTTTCGGTAGTGGCGCCTGCCCTGTGGAATGCCCTCCCATCAGATGTCAAAACGATAAACAACTACCTGACATTCAGAAGACATCTTAAGGCAGCCCTGTTCAGGGAAGTTTTTAATGTATGATATTTTAGTGGGGTTTTTGGTTTCTATGGAAGCCGCCCAGAGTGGCTGGGGAAACCCAGCCAGATGGGCGGGGTACAAATAATAAATTATTATTATTATTATTATTATTACTACTGGCTTACAATAACAAGCCACAAGGGGTGGGGGAGAGACATTAAAATAATTAATAAATGGCTGTAAAGGGGGGTAAGGTAAACTCCCAGAAGACAACTCTGTCAAAAGAGATTAGCCATGACAACTCAGAATACCATATGCAGTCTTACTCCAAGCATTCCTGAGGCATATGGCTGAAAACAGAGTGCTTGGGTTCTTGGTCTGATCCAGCAGGATAAGGATTCTTGTTATGTTCTTACCTTTTGTCTAATTCTGCTGAATCTTCAAGTTCCATGGTAACTTTCAGGATTTAAAAAAAAAAAAATATTTGCCTTCTTTACTGACATCCACCAAACTATTAAAGATCAATTCAGGACTGCAGTTGGGGAAATAAATGCAGTACTGTACACAAAAGCAGCAGGTGCTTCTGTTGTATTGTTGGGGACTCTAAAGCGGGAGTGGGGAACATGTGGCCCGCCAAATGTGGAGGTTTCATTTGACTTAGAACAATACCATTATCATCCTAGTCAAAGGATGAGGAACCTGTGGTCCTCCAGATGTTGTTGGACTCCACTTTCATTCAACCCTATCCAGCATGGCCAATGGTCAGGGATTATGGGATTATAGGAGCTGTAGTTCAGCTACATCAGGGGGGCCTCAGGTTCTCTACCCCTGTCCTAGTCAGTAGGCTGCTTTTCAGTAGATATAGGGTTGGGTTTGCCCCGTTAAGAAGACAATTTCATAATCCTGTTGCCACCTTTTCCCTGGCAGAGAACTACTGCTTTTTCAGTGCTGCACCACAGGAAGAAATTCAACAGTTGAAGCCTCCACTACTTCCCTCCATGCTAGGAAAAGTAACTCATTTCATTGCCCAACAACATTGTGAGAATGAGAGGTGGGCTCCCTCTTCACTACCAAAAACAAACTATCCTTTCCCTCCAAGGGCTTCCCATTGCTGCTAATCACTTCATCATCTCAGGGCTGTGAAATCCCAGATTGCAACGAGATTAATTTACCAAAAGCAGTTAACATTTTTATCAGAGGAGTCAGCTACATTCCACTGAATGTGTCTGACTGATGTTGAACAGTCTATGAAATGCAACCAGGACTGATGGGTTTCCAATGAAATCTGACACTCTGCAAAACTTACCTGGCTTCAGGCTATGAAGAATGTCGGCATTATTGCTAGTCTTCTCAGTTTAGTACTGTTTATATATCGCCTTTCTTCTGCAATGCAAATCTAGGAAGCATACATGGTGTTTCCTGGTGGTCAACTATCCAGGTACTGATCAGACCCGAACATGCTGAGCTTCCTTGAATTCCTGGGTTCAGATTCTTACACAGCACTGGGGAATCATAGAATTGTAGAGTTGGAAGGGACCCTGAGGACCATCTAGTCGAACCCCCTGCAATGCAGGAATATTCAGTTGAACACGTGGCCCTTCTGATGCTGGGTACCACAATGGCCACGGTGGATGTGCCTGATGGGAATTGGAGTCCAGCAACATATTGAGGGTCATAAGTTCTCAATCCTTGATGCAGACTGAGTACTAAGATAGATGATCCAATGGGTCTGGATTTATCTACAGAAGCTTCCTAGGCACCTAATTTAGAAGTCTTAAGTCTTCATAAAGATATATTATCAGAGTGCGCCTGCAGCTATGAATTTCTGACACAATTTACTATTCAAGTACTTAGTGATTAGGTAATTGTTTTTGGCAAAATGCAATGGACGAACACAAACAGAACATAAAGATTAGATAGATAAGGATTTCAGACTTTTAAAACAAATTTTTTTTTTGAAGGTGCTAAATAATGACTTTTATGCGAAAACCCTCTTCAGATTCGCCAGCCATGTTCCCATCAAGCTCTTTATTATAAACAGGCCCTTTCCCGGGCTCTCTGGAAGGAGAGCTATCTTCCCAGGATGTTAATGATTAAGAGAGTGACTCCAGCCAGAGTTTTGTCTTCCCTGCAGGAATACATTCACTCTGTGAAAGCTCTGGGCTCATTAAGAGGTATTTTGCATTCATTACATTCTCACTAGCCCACTGTTTTAATCCTCTGGTTGCAAATGTTTGTTTGCAGCTTTGCCAGACTGGCTCCAGGTTTCCCTTTCACATGATCTTGGGTGATGATAAGTTCCTTCTATTGCTTGCTAATAAACTTGGAGTCAAGGGGAAATTGTCTTTCAGAGGGAAGGAGCCCTGGGCCTGCCCTGGCCATGTGGCTTATGCTGCAGTATGGAACTGGCTACCAAAACAGCTGGTGAAATGTTTCAGTGATGCCTTGTTTCATAGGCAAGGAATTTCACACTCTGTGTATGTTTATGTGTATATGTATGTTTTCATATTTATATCCCATCTTTCCTCCAAGAAGGTCAAGGTGGTATACATAGTTCCCCTCCTTCCCATTTTACCTCACAACAATCCTGTGAGGTAGCTTAAACTGAGAGATACTGACTGGCCCATGGTCACCCAGTGAGATTCATGGCTGGTTTCATATTATGAGAAGTGGTGTCTTCTGTTTCACAAAAGTTGTACTTTTTTTTTTTTGCAGAGAGATTCCTTGAGAACAATTTTAATTGCAGATACTTGAACCACTTTTTCTGGAGTTATTTAATGGAGTTTGGTTATGTTATTCCAGAGTAAATTGTTTTAGGAGTTCAGCCAAGTGGTGCTAGTCCTGGGTTCATTAGCTCAAGTTAGTGATCTTGGAAAAATAATTATTGGTATCATTTTTTCATCCATAAAGTGGGAATTAAAGTCATCTGCCTCACAGAATGATTAAGAAAATAAACAGGTGAGTGAAATATTAATTGTTTTTAGAAAATCAAATGAATGTTGCCCTAACTATAGGATGGGCATTGCGTCTCATACAAATCATGTCTGATGGAAACTTAAGAACAGAGGTGAACTTTATCATAGTTATACTGGCATAGGGAGCAAAAAACGGGATTTATCCTGCAAAATACTCAGAAAAGCAGATTGTCGCTAAGCTTTTCACTAAATAGTCTTTCAGGAGTTAGATCCACTGAACAAAGGAGCACTTGCTTCTGAGCAAACATGCATAGGCTTCCACTCTAAAATGAATTCCCCCCCCCCCAATGCCAAATGATGTTCCCACTCACAGCTTTCCATAGGCCCAGAAGACAGTGTTCTGTGGCAGCTGGAAAAACTAATCTATTGCATGATGAGCTTAATAAATACTTTCCTTTTGCATATGCTAGAGAAAAGTCCATTGACAATTCCCAGTCACTTCTGCTTTAGATGTTTGTATGCAAGGGAAGATTCCCTGAAATTGCCAGGGTCTCTATTCTGCTTGTCCAAAGTCAAGTTATAAAGAACGGATGGGCTTTTGTGCAAAAAAGTACAATCACCAGCTTTTATTTTCTGGAAGGAACCTGTTGCCTTAAACTACTGCATGCTGAGGAGAAACTAATTGGGTAAAAGCAGGATTGCCAAAGTGCCTGGCCAAAGCTGGTACTGATACTTTTGAAAGTTCTAAGCCTTAGAATCTGCTGCTGCTTGTTTTTGGTTTTTTTAAAAAATCCTAGCTGAAACCTCAAGTCTATGGCCAAATCCACAGCGCATTAACTGTGGGATGGCTCCTGCAATGGCTATTGGGACTTCATTGGAGTCATCAAGCATTGTAGCCATTTTTCCCCCAGAGAGAGAAAAAATAAAAATAAAAATAAAATAAAATAATAGATCGTAATTTTGGGGGAATGGCAGAAGAGATGGTGGTGAGAGACCTTGGCTAAGGAAGGGGAGGTGTTTGTTTGTTTTAAAAGAGAAAGCAAGTGCACTTCAGCTAAAGTCAAAAGCCCCCTTAATTGAATTAAAAGTTCTCTATTGTTAGGCAAGTTTGCCCTTCTTCAGAATCACTACAGAGATTCAGATGGCAACTGCCTCCCGGCCTTTTGAAGTGCACCATCAGGCGGTTCCTTTGCTATCTTTTCAACCATTGGATCAGAAGCTCTTTTATCATTGGGCAGCAAATAGACGCCCTTCAGGAGCCCAGCTTATAAATAACTTGGGATTTTGGTTGCTGTAACTTTCTTTATTCTGGATTATCTCTCATTTGGCATAGAAAAAAGGGCTCTTAGCTGTGTGTCCTCCTCCCCGCTCCTATCTAGAAAAAGCCTATGTTGTCTGGGGGGGAAAGCTTTTGGATCTGCTAGTGGAATACAGAGTCACCATGAAGAGGGGCACCTTTGCCATCCTTACTGTTATTGGAATTTACGGAGAGATCTTCAGGATATCAGCATGGTAGGAGCTCAAGCCTCACTGCTACTAGGTGGTTCTCACCCACTTCAAAAAGGATGGCCTTAAAATTCTGTTCAATAAGGTGTTTTATTGTTGTTTTTCTCTCTTTCCCTCCTTCAGGTCCGTGAACAACTTTTTGATGTCAGGAACCCAGGTAATTCCCACCCACCCCTTTTCAATATTGTGAGTTTAAATAGCTTTCAATGTAGTCTGCTTGAATGAAGTAACCACATCTGCTGATACAAAGCTACAATTCCTTGTGCAGAATGGAGGGGAACTGGATAGAAACTGGCTGTTTCAAGGATGTTTAGGGTTTTTTTTTTTTTTGAGAGAGAGAAAATAAACACCTCACTTCACCTCTTTTTTGGTCTGTTAAAGGCATATTTGACATATTCGTCCAGTGTGGCTGCTGGTGCCCTACGTGGAATTGAAGAGTGTAAGTACCAGTTTGCCTGGGAGCGTTGGAATTGTCCAGAGAGCACCCTGCAACTCTCCACTCACAATAAGCTGAGAAGTGGTAAGTGGATTTCTGCATGTCCTTTCCTACAGTCAGGTCTGTCTGTCTGGGTTCTGTGGTGGGCAACTTCTAATGAGGAAATGTGGGCTTGTTGGCAATGTCAGGCTTTGATCCTGGAATGTGTGAAGAAATGAACAGACGAAAATGCTTTTGGAACACATTCAGAGTTGGGGTTTTTAAATGAATAAATTATCATTTATTGCGTCTCGTCTCACCCTTCTTCTAAGGAGATAAGGCTGGGGCACAAAGTTCTTTTGCACTCCTTTCACCTTTCACAACAACAACCTTGTGAGGTAGGTTAGACTGAAAGTGAGCAACTGGCCAAAGGTCACCTAGTGAGCTTCGTGGCTGAGTGGAAATTGGAAGTAAAGTTTCTTCAGCTCTTTTCTCACAGTCTAACCACCATCAACCTGGCTCTCATTTCCATCACCACTGAAGAACAGTGAAAGTGCTTCCAGATCAGGGGGTACATTTTCCCGAGAGACCTCTCCCTCTCAAAAAATAACACATGGGATTTACCCAAGAACATATCTATATATTTTAAAGCTACAATCTCTCTTCCTATTTATCTTGTTTGAAAAAAAGTCAAACTATCTTACAAAATGCAAATGGAAGGAATCCATCTCCAGAATAAGAAGAGCTAAACAAACAAAACAAAACTGCTGTGTTTTTAGATGATTTCTGATATTTTATTATTTATTGTTATTTCATTTTATAATGTATGTCATTTTAGTTTTAACATACTGTTTTAAGGCCCATGTGTTTGCCATCCTGGACTTCTTTAGGAGGAGGTGTGGGATATAAATTCAATAATACATTAAATGGATGGGTGCAATTCTATGCCAGTCTACTCAGAAGTACATCCCATTGAATTCAATGAGATGTACTCCAAGATAAGAAGGTATAGGATTGAAGCTTCAACAGTAATACAAGAATAAGTGAACTTGTTTCAGCTCCAGCTTTCTGAAAATAATTACCAGCTGAAGTACCTAGTACTGTATCTTCATATTTAGGTGGCTACATTTTTGTTTAAGACATTTTTGTTTAAGAATGGTTTTATTGTTTTTAGTTTGAGTCTGTATCTTTGGTATTTTATCGTATTGCACACAGCTTCTGTAGCTTTTAACTATAAAGTGATATATAAACCTGCAAAATAAATAAATATTAGCAGCAGCAGCAGCTTTATTTCCCAAGAGCTTTTAGAACAGTACCTTCTCTGTACTTTCGCCAAACAGGCATGCCAACTTTGTATGATATGACTCTAAAGCAAGATAGTTTACCAGCCCAATAGCTGGGATATAAAAATTGTGATCATAGACTTTTTTGTTTCTGTGTTAAATGATTGTATATATTCCATAATGCTCTGATGCTAGTGATACACAGACCATGTTTAGTGCAGAAAAATAAAACCTGACCTTATGCTTAGTGTCAAGTATTATATATCAATGCTCATGTTATAGTGGATTTATAAAAGGGATCTAGAGACCAGGAAAGAGTAGAAGAAGAAATGTAGGGGACAATTTTGGCCTTTTCTTTTCTTTTCTCCTGATGCTGACTGGTCCTTCTTTCAGCTACCAGGGAGACGTCTTTTGTTCATGCCATTAGCTCAGCTGGTGTAATGTACACTCTTACCAGGAACTGCAGCATGGGAGAGTTTGAAAACTGTGGCTGCGATAACTCAAGAAAGGGACATGCAGGTGAGACCTCATCTTGGTGGGCATAATTCTGGAATGAGTTCGTTACGTATTGCTTTGCTTTTCACACTTCTAGGTGGCAGAATCTCCATCTCCGCGCTTTGTGCCAGCTGTTTTTGGTTGCTTAGTCTGGCTTCCCAATAGCAAGAAAGATACAATTCAAACTAAATTATAATTAAAATATATTTCTTAGCCCCTACTTTCATTCCGGTCCAAACCTGGCTATTACCCGTTTCCCTGTTTCTTCTGTGATACCTCCATGTGCTCAAACCCATTTCTGTTGGAAGATTCATACCAGAACAGTTTGCAAATTATGTTATTTTTGTCCCCCCAGGTGGAAAAGGATGGGTTTGGGGAGGCTGCAGTGACAATGTAGAATTTGGTGAAAGAATTGCCAAAAAATTTGTGGATGCTTTGGAGACAGCACATGATACCAGAGCTTCAATGAATTTGCATAATAATGAAGCAGGGAGACTGGTAAGTGAGAAAATATGTAGTTTTCATTTGAAAAATACTTCTTTTAGAATGTGTAAATGGCCAAAGAGAAGAGTGACCTCAGAGTCGCCCCTTCAGGCTGTCCTTTTCTGAATAAGCTGACTGACTCACTGATTTCATGGGCTGACTGGAAATAAGGGTTGCTCAACACTGAATGCGGGCAGAGTCACCTTATCAGGCCCTCAGGGTGAATTCCTGATTAATTTTACCTGCTTCTTATTTTCTGAAATAGAGATGGGGCATACCTAATTGTTTTAAGCAGGATGGAGAAACTACCACTTCAGTGGGTTACTTTAAAAACAAAACAAAAAAAACCCTTACAATTGTATTCATTTGTATTCGGTTGCAACAAAACAAGAAAATAGTAAAAATGTATTTATTTATTTCATAAAATTTATAGACCGATTGATTGTAAAAAAACCACACTCTTAGAGCAGTTGACAAAAACTAGAGATAGTAAAATCAAGAAAAATGTACAACCCCACTTTAAAACATACCAAAGTTAAAATGCTGAAACAGATTAAAATCACCTCGTTTTCTAAGCATCTGGATTGGTTTGTCTAAATAGGAATGTTTTTAGCAAGCACCGAAAAGAGTGCAGGTCTCAATAGGCAGGTAGTTCCACACTGTAGATGCTGCCACACCAAGCAGTCAAGTTCTTACAAATGTGCAACGGGTATTATGTGGCACCTGTAGTAGTGCCAATTTGGTTGAAGCGGTCGAGGTATGGCATAGGTATGGTAAAGTGATCTCATAGGTAAACTGGTTCCAAGTTAAGAGTTTTATATACTAAGAGCAGTGGGGGGTTTTTCCTAAAAAAGTTAATGGGTACACTCATTCTGCACTAACTGCAGATTCCAGATTAAGCACGAGGGGAGCCCCACATAGAGTGTATTGCAGTAATGCAGTAGAGTGCATTGAAGTAACCAATGCATGAACTATTGTGGCAAGGCTTTCCTGGTCCAAGAATGGCCATAGCTGTCGAACCAGCTGCAGTTGGTAAAAGGCACATGTAGCCATGAGGCTACCTGAGCCTCCAGCGACAGAGCTGGATGCAGAAGCACTCTGAAATTGCTCCTTCAGGAGACAAGCAACCCCACCTAGGGTAGAAAACTGAACACAAAAAACAAAAATATACAGTTTGCTTCTATCTATATGGCTACCAGACCCGTAATCGGCTGAGCAAAATTGTTGTCTGTTCTCTGTTAGGTGGATCAGTTTTCTGTTCTAGGCTCTCTGGACGTGGTTCAACCTAGTGGCTTGGACAAGTCTCATCATGACTCCTCCTCACTCTGTTTCAAAACAAGGGAATGTTTTTACACAAGGGTGATCAGTTCTGTTTGATTAGTGTGATGCAACTGAAATTTGAAAGAAGCAAATTTCTGGTTTAATCTCTGTTGATATATAACATGACTTTAAACAATTTGTTCTGTTAAGCACATTTTTGGGCACAATGAAGATTAACCTCTTAGGCAAAGGACTAGCATCCTATACATTCCTGATAGAAGCATGCCAGTCTTGAGTATCTTCTGGACTGAAAATTCAAGCTGCAATTCTATGCCTACCGGGGAGTAAGCCCCACTGAACACAGAGGAATGATTTTTGAGGAACATGCATTGGATTGGATGGCATGCTGCTTCCATCTAAAACAACTCCACATAATTAGGAAATTTAGCTCCTAGAAAATAAATACTTTTAAGATGTAGGAAAATAACTTTTAAGATGTAGGAAAGCTTCTGATAGCATTATTCCAAATCTTGGTCACCGAGGCCCAGTGTTGGCATTCATCATGGTGGGCTCAACATGGTTATCACTGGTCAGCAGCTTCCTTAATTAAGAAATAAATATTAAAAGCTTTTAATGGCATGGTGCTAAACCCAGGGCTATAAATGGAAGCACATTTTGCACAGGCTGCAGGTGCTATTAACTTAATTTCCCCAGAATTACTACTATATTGGGGTCTAGGGGCATTCTGGGTAAATTAAGCCCTGATGGGAAGGAAGACAGATGCTGTTTATCATGCACTTTATACCTGCCTAAATTCCCTCTCCCACACAACTTTTTAAAATGTGAGCAGTGCTTTTTTTCTAGACTTTTTAATAACAAAAAAGAGGTTTTGATACTGCGTACCCTTGAGTACCCCCTGGAAAAAACCCTGCACTGGGTCCTCATTTGCTTGCAATAAGGTGTCCTCCAGATGTTATTTGACTCCCCATCAGCCACAGCCAGGAATGATGGGAGCTAGAGTCCAGCAACATCCGAAGGGCACCTGTTGGCTTCTCTCCTACTAAGGGCAAATGAAGACGGCCACTATTACAGCTGCCTTGCCTGGTGCTTCTCTTCTCTGTGTCTCACTAAATGTTATGGCCCACATCCTCTCTCTGCCCCTTGCAATGTACATCAGTGTGGAACTGGGGGGTGGGCACAGAGGGCACATTTCTCAGGCTCATTCCAGACTTGGTGTTCTTAATTGTTCTCCTGCCTCTCCTCCCAAGGCTGTAAAAGCAACCATGAAGAAGGTTTGCAAATGTCACGGGGTCTCAGGGAGCTGCAGCATCCAAACCTGTTGGCTGCAGCTTTCAGATTTTCGAGAGATTGGAAACTACCTGAAGATCAAATACCGCCAGGCTCAGAAGCTGGAGACAGACAAGAAGAGAATGAGAGCGGCAAACAGTGCAGACAGTCGTGGAGTCACACTCGAGACCTTCAGCACCCTGCTATCCGGTGAACTTGTCTACTTGGAGGACTCTTCTGACTACTGTGTCAAAAACATGACCTTGGGCCTCCGCGGCACTGAAGGACGAGAATGCCTGCAAGGCGGTACAAACCTGTCCCAGTGGGAGAAGCGGAGCTGTAAAAGGCTCTGTTCAGAGTGTGGGTTGAAAACGGAGGCTAGGCAGACAGAAACAGTCACCAACTGCAACTGCAAGTTCATCTGGTGTTGCACCGTGAAATGTGAACAGTGCAAAGAAGTAGTCACCAAACATTACTGCTCCAGACAAGACAGCTCTTCCTCCAATAACACTCGGAGGCGAAACAAAGGACGCAAATCAGCAGCTGTCTAACTACTACCTATGACAGCCTTCCAGCGAACTGTTAAATGATCACATTTCAGGCATACAGTATTTTTTTACTTAGAGTATCCAGAAAAGTTTTATATATTTGGACCATGCTTACCCAAGTCCCTCCCCCACCCCCTTATTCTGGACACATCTTCAATTTGACCAATATTTGGAACAAAACTGGTGCTCATTTAACGTATTTGTGCCGCTCCCCACCCCCCACAATAATATACTCCACGCTACTTCTGCTTCAGGTACCTATTTCCCTACTCTCACACAATTTAGAGCAATATTCTGCCCTATAAGGCACCTCAATCTTATAAGGATCTGTGGTCCAGGCTGGAAACTGGGATTTTTGAGTGTTTTAACTTTTCTCTGGTATGTAAGGGGGACAGGCTGTTGGAATAAGATAGCCACATATCCCATACCTTCCAGGAATCCACGTGCATACGCAAAAAATAATAAAACTAGGAACCCCCAGAACCAGGCCCCCACAAGGAGGAAAGTGGCGCAAGGGCTCTGGCAGGGACCTAGAGCCCTTCCCCCACTTCCCAAAGCCCAGTGGGAGCTAAAGCCTGAGAGCCTTCACACTGCCTTCCGAAAGCTGGGGATCACAGCTTTGCGCAGGTGGGGTGAGGGGAATATATAAATTGAGAGTGGATTTCTGCTGCTCTCCATTTATTTATTTATTTATTTATCCCCCTCCCTCCCTAAACAAAGCTGCGATCGCGTAAGTTAAACAAGCGTAAGATGCAAGTTACCTGTGTGCTCCTTAAGCTTAGATTGTATACTTCCAAGGTTTTCCAGTTTACTTCTAAAGCTTCATAGTTAGCTGTAAGTGCACTTGTAGTCACTTTATTGTCTGTTTCTGGTTAAAAAGCCTTCCTTTGTAGAAGTACCAAATGCAAAGGTATGAAGTCCAGATTTCAATATTGTCAAAGCTAAAATGGTAGAACAAATTTTCCCAGGTCCGGTTTACAAAGTCAGGGAAAATCATTTACCATTATTATGGAAATGCCTGATGGTTCTCTTGTGTGCAGCCTGGTTCCCATTAATATTTTCTCATGTGGTTGCAGTAGCACAGCTGCTTGTGTGTGTGGAAATCTGAACGTGTGAACTGTTGCACAGTGATTTTCACACCCACCATGTGATGAGATCATGACAGAATTAAGTTATGTGGGATCTAAAGCAATAGGGACTTAATGGCCATTGTGTTTTCAACAAGATAGGTTTTTGCGTGTGCAAGTTATTGCATGTATACGATGTATGTACCTCAGCCCTTCAGGCAACCCAGTTGCATGCAAATTCCGCCAAAATAACACTTGATGGAGAAATATGGGTTGTCTGAATCCTTGCAACATACACTATGTTTATTCTTGAATGTATCTAATGGAATTCACAGGAAAGTGTAAAGAGTCGGCTTCTTTGTAATGCTGCATGTGCATCGATTGTAAATATATATATATTTTTAGAATGTGAAACATATGCACTTTTTGATGTGAGGAATTTAGAGTCCCTAGTTCTCCCTGAGGTGGGGGTAGAATACATGTCTGGGCTAAACCACTTCACACTGCATGTGGTGTTGAGGCCTGCATGGCAGAATATCTCTTCATACCAAAAACATTAATTTCATACAGAAAACAATCTCATAGAAAAAGGTTCACATGCAGACTTCGTTCAAAATACTAGTTTTCTGTATGCAAACTGTGTTTCTGTATGGAGAAGTGTTCAGTCAGAGGAGCTCCTACCCAGGGTCTGAAGTGGTATGGGAAAGATCCAGTTTTACCACCTCACTTGAAAATAAGCCATATTTCCCCCCAGTTAGAATACACCTACTTTCTCCAACCACCACAAGGGTGGCTTTGTGGACAATATTATGCTTTACCTTCAATGCATTTTAAGTGTACTTTTCACAAAGTCATTGCAGTGGATAACCAAGCAACTTTTAATTCTCTGTTTCTGGGCGAAATGCTGTGCTTTGGTGTCCTTTGCCACCTAAAATCACAATAAATTCAACAGCTATCAATTTGGTGCACTTTGGTAGCTGATCAACGTGTCCTGTTTTGAAGAGATTGTTATAAGACAAGTGAAGCTGAGGCTTATTTTGCATATTATTTTGCAATAAACCCTTTTAAAAAATAAAACGAATGTTTTCTTTTTAATTTTGATTTTTTTTTAAAAAAAAAGCTGCTTAAAGTCTCTGTGTGTGCCATGTGGAGATAGCTATATACCTATGCACACACAATAATGCTACCTTAAAAAGAAGCGGGGATGAAGAGGGTTGCTATGGCTTGGATAGCAGCCCACAAAATTAAGCCAGACAGTGACTCTCAACAGTCCCTTTTTCTTTAGGATATAAATTGGGCAGAATACTAGATTGCAAACACTGGCCCAGTAAAAGTAAATTTCCCTTGTCGCTTTAATTTGTCTATTGTCTAATGTTCTTCAAACAATGCCGGCTCCAATTGTGTTTGATGTGGTAAATATCAGGGCTTGTTGCAAAATTCTTTATTCTAAGGAACAAGATTAACCCTTTGAACTGGAGAGTATAAGTGAAAACTTGGAGGCAGTTGTGAATGTATCTGTGGGCTCCCTGCTGTTTGCTCCTATAAACAGCCTGAAGACATGCATGCCTGGGAGGGCAAGAGGAGACACTGGCTTCAGCCAAATTGGCCTCTTGATTAAATGTGTATTCCAGATCTCTTCCTGGATTCAGCTGATTATTTTGGTGCCTCAAGAGGCTATTTCCCCCCACAAGGTTTATTAGCCATTTGCCGTGTTAGATATTTGGTAGATGACCTGTGTCAAAGAACAGCTAACTTGGCTAGTTCTCAATTCTTACCTTCCCCCTTGGGATGCCAGATATTTTAAAGTAGGTCTGACCACATGGCCCCAAAGGATGATAACCAATGGGTGCCTTCTGCTATTGACTCCATTATATTATATATTTCTAAAATTTTAATCCAGTGCAAGGTTGTCACGTGGCTATTAGTTACCAGTTGCTGGAAACCAGGCTCAGATTCTGCTGGAGGTCTTCCCAAAGGCATCTGGTTGGCCACTGTAAGAACAGGATGCTGGACAAGATGGGTCTTTGGCCTGATCCAGCAGGCTCTTCTTTTCTGACTGCTGAACATACTTTTCGACAATTTTGAGTCCAGCATTCTGTTGTCATTTCCATCAACCATCAACCTTGGTACACGCTAAGGGTTACAGATGTTGCCATGGCTAATGCTTCAAGCTTCAGAGACTGTATGATAAAAAGTGTGCTGCTTACTTTCAAATGGCTGCATGTCGTAATTGAACTATATCGTGAGAGGGATACAACCTGAGCCTGTAACCACATTGTGGAGACAGGAGGGCCACTGTGGGAACAGGGATAGCCCCAGCATTACAACTTCTCTCCTGGGTTTGACTGGGAATATGTGTGTTACACAACTGCGTTTCCTCTGGTGGTTATTATCCCAAGGTAATTTTAAAGACCAACAGATGGATAATTATCATAGAATATAGTTTAGGTTACATTACTCTTCAAGGTAAAACCAATGGTGAAACCTAAATTTTCACCTTACTCATGTGAGCAGAGATGGGCAAACAGCAAATTAAAGGTTTATATTAATATCAGAGAAAGTGATTACAGGAATATTTCCTCAGGATATCTGTGATATTTGCAAGTGATCATAGGGGACCATTGCCACTATTTGCTTAAGAAGGGCAGGCAAGCTGAATGTACCGTGGCAGCTGCCTCTTCTCTTATATCCCTAGCCATCTATATGGACCATTGGTTGGGGAAAACAGAAGTACACCTGATTAACAATCCACAATTTAACTAAAGAAACACCAGAAGATTAATTTCTGCTGTCAGCAAAGCATCCTGTTATATTCATTCTAGGTTTGTTCCTTGGTGCCAATGACACACTAATGATGGGTTGTTGCGTTGTTGTTTTTACCCATCTTAGAATAGAGACAGAAGAATGTATTTATTTTTACACCATTCATTTCCTGCATTTCCACATGGGGTTAGCAGTTGTATGAAGTGAATATTATGGCTCCCAATGCAAAGGCTCTCCATCACTCAAGCTGGCATCTCCTCTCTTGAGGAGAATAAGTGACCTTTTCATATGCAGCTTAACTAGCCGGTCACACCACAACTAAATTGGGAAAAGCCATGGGTCACATCAATTCCTGGAGGCCTTAAAAACAAAAGTGAGAGGCTCTTTTCAACTTGCAAAAAAACAAAACAAAACAAAGAAAAACCTCCCTTAACATTACAAAGTTAGAGGGTTGTAATTGCCATTTCTGATAGCCTCTTTTCCAGCATGAGCAGAGGCAGGTGCACAACACAAAATGGTGGCTAGGGGGTAATTATCAGCTGTGCAGGATTTTCAAAGCAGTCCAATAAAAGTTTGATGATGCCCAGAATTAAACTCAAATGAGGATGTGGATGAGGGCTGACCAGATAGCTGAACTTAAAAGAAAGCAATATAAGAGTCCCTTTCAGAGGCATTTGAAAATATGCAGGGGAAACAGATGATGGAGGAATGGGATTTGGGTGCATTAGTTCCAGCTTCTGGGTCAACTTCAAAGGCAGCCCTACATAGAATGGATTGCAGTAAGCCAATCTGAAGGTTACCAGCATGTGGATAGCAGTGGTCAGGCTATCCAAGTCCAAGAAATGGCCATAGCTGTCATATAAGCCAAAGCACTCCTAGCCACTGAAGGCACCTGGACTTTTAGTGAGAGAGATGGATCCAGGTAATTAACCACTTATTGGTTAATTATTGGGGCTTGGGAACCATCCCCCTCCCAGAAGGCTTCTGTCCTGTCAGGATTCAGATTCAATTTGTTGGTTCTAATCTAATCTACCAATGAATCCAAGCACCAGGCCAGGGTTTGCATTGCCCCTTCCAGATCACTCGTTAAAGATAAACAGAGCTAGGTATCATCAACAAAAGGAAGACACGTTACCCCAAGTCTCCCAATAACCACCCCTAATGATTCTATATAGATGATAAATAGCACTGGGGACAGTAGTACCCTTTGGCTCCCCACAGCACAACTGCCTCGGGTCCGAACTATAATCACCCAATGTTATTCTCTGAAATTGACTCTGGACTGGACTAGGTAAAGGTAAAGGTACCCCTGACCATCAGGTCCAGTCATGACCGACTCTTGGGTTGCGCGCTCATCTCGCTCAAGAGGCCGGGAGCCGGCGCTTGTCCGCAGACAGCTTCCGGGTCACGTGGCCAGCGTGACTAAGCCGCTTCTGGCGAATCAGTGCGGCACACCGAAACACCGTTTACCTTCCCGCTGGAGAGCGGTCCCTATTTATCTACTTGCACTTTTGGGGTGCTTTCAAACTGCTAGGTTGGCAGGAGCTGGGACCGAGCAACAGGAGCTCACCCCATCGCGGGGATTCGAACCGCCGACCTTTCGATCAGCAAGTCCTAGGCACTGGTTTAACCCACAGCGCCAACTGCGTCCCCCCTGGACTGGACTGGACTAATACAAAACAGTGGCTTGAGCAAGTTCAGGAGGATACCTTGATCAAGGATATCAAAAGGTGCTGAGAGATCAAGTAAGAATAAGAGGGACACAGTCCTCCTGTCCTTCTCCTCATAAAAGTCATCCATCAGAGCAAGGAAGGTCAATTCCATGTCTCTCCCTCCTCAAACACCTACTCCCAAGCACATGTTGTAAGAAATAATTTCTTAGTTCTTAGTTCTTTCTTACTTTTCATAGGTGTGTCTGGAAGGCAGAGGGGCAGGGTAATGTGAGGAAATTGGTGAACATGTCTTGCATGCTATTGGACAGTCTAGGCTTTGTACCAAACTTGCATCAAGAAAGCTCTGCTTCTATGCATCACCAGATAACTTACAGGAGTTTTTCTACGGTTCTTTCAAGATTCTTTCCTGCTTAATTCAACAACATAAAGCACTTGAAATTTGCACTGCTGGCAAATGAATATGGGCCCATTTACAATGGACATAATACTCTAGGCCAATGATATTTGAATCCGGATTTCAAACATGACAAAGTTTGGAAGGAACAAATCAGATTCAAGGTAAATCTCCCCCGCTATCTTTTAAATGTGCAGCCATCAGCTGATGGGGTGTATGCTACCTTTCAGTGTACTTAATCAGGAGCAAGAAAGAGACCAAGAGAGATACTGTAGCTTTATCTCATTATATCACCAGAGAACCATCACAAATCACTGTATGATTCCTTCTCTGACAGTTGGAAGCACTAAATTGTGCCTCTGTTATCCAGAACTCCCTAAACTTACAAATACAGGCCAGAAACTTTAAAGAGAAAGATAGTGTAAATCATTCTAGAGGAGGTCTACAAAAAGCTTAAGACTTCCTGGCCTGTAATAGTAATAATAATAATAAAGGGTCACTTAACAATGAGGAATCTAGTTTACAGCATCCCTCTGGAAGAGATTGCCAAAGAGAAGGGTGGTGGTGGTGGTTATGGAATTTCCCTCAACTTTGGCAGCACTGACAAAAGATTAAAATCAGGAGGTAAAATGTTTTTAAAATAGAGCAATAATCCAGAGAGAGAGAGAGAGAGAGAGAGAGAGAGAGAGAGAGAGAGAGAGAGAGCCAGAGCTGGGATAGATTCAGAAAATACAACGTACTCTGAGGCAGTCAGGCTGTATCTGGGTGGGCTGTACCACTTCAGACACATTGCCTGTGGGAAGCTCCCACGTTCAAATTAGGAAAATCATTCACCCTTGCAAAGTGGAATATCAAGAAGGGCTCTAGGTTAGATGAGCGCCTCACATGCTAGTTTTCTATCTCAAGCTTTATTCTGCATGAAGTACATTCTGGACACAGGCTTACCCCCTCTGTGAGAACTAGGCCTAGCCAGCCTTAAAGAGTGCAGAAAGCCCAGGCATTTCTGTTCATTGTTTTTTTTAAGACAATAGCCCTGTTCAGAGAGGGCACAATTTTGATGGTGGTGGCCCCTTCTATAAACCCAGCAACCACGTGCTTATGTGTTAACCATGGTTAACTTCTGCAGTGAGCAAATAGTCCAGTACAGTGGTACCTCTGGTTACAGACGCTCTAGCTTACAGACTCCGCTAACCCAGAAATAGTACCTCGGGTTAAGAACTTTGCTTCAAGATGAGAACAGAAATCGTGCAGCGGCGGCGCAGCAGCAGCAGGAGGCCCCATTAGCTAAAGTGGTACCTCAGGTTAAGAACAGTTTCAGGTTAAGAACGGACCTCCGGAACGAATTAAGTTCTTAACCTGAGGTACCACTATATTTGTAATTGTTCTTCTAACCCAGGCTTCCTCAACCTCAGCCCTCCAAATGTTTTGAGACTACAATTGCCATCATCCCTGACCACTGGTCCTGCTAGCTAGGGATCATGGGAGTTGTAGGCCAAAAACATCTGGAGGGCCGAGGTCAAGGAAACCTGTTCTAAGCTGTTACTGAGTCCAGTTTTCTTAGCAGTCTGTTAGCATTATTTGGAACACATCATGCAGACTTTATTTTCAACAGAGCTTGGTTGATACCCACGCAGTGCAGAAACAGGCTTCTCAGGATGGGCAATATGTTTCATTCAAATTAATTTCTTTCTAAACAGCAGCAGCAGCAGCAACAGCAGCAGCAGCAACAACAACAACAACCATAAATTACATGAAAACTATCAGACTGATTCTAAATGTATGACCCTTAAGAGCTATCATTTTATATGTGCATAGTGCCATAGGAAATTAAATGAGAAGTTGCTTCCTCAGCCCTTTGCACTCCTTCAGATTTGAGATGATGGCACTATTCAAGG